TAAAATTAATATAAAAATTAAAAAATAAAGTGTGCTGATGGAAAGAATACTTTCATAAAATCTTGATGACTCAAGAAAGTGTCATGAACATTTGAATGCACTTCTTTTACCATTGCTAGACATTTAAATTACGCTTGGCTTACACTGAACTAACTTACTGCTGTTATAAATAAAAATGTGAACAATTAATTAACTTTGTTTTTGACAGGCTCTTGCTGTATAGTTCGGGCAGGCCTTGAACTCACTGTATAGCCCAGGTTGGCCTCACCGAAATTCTCCTGCCTCAGCCTCCCAAGTGCTAGGATTACAGCAATGTGTCCCTATGCCAGGCAGTCTGAACAATTTAAATGCAATGACATCATGTGATTTAAAGCACAGTGGCTCGAATAGTCTTCAAAACAACAGGTTTAAATTATTTGTTATTTTTATCAAAGAACAACTGGACATCTAGTTGGTAATTGAGGCAAAAAATCACTTCCAGTGATTGTTCATTCTGCCCAGGCACTGAGGGCTTCAATTAAATTACCATTTACCTACATGAGTCAAAACAAAATAAGGAATTCTCTACTCAGCAAAACGTTCCTTATTTCACCACAGTACCCTTATACACATCATTGGAAGCAAATAAAATACCAGAAACTATACCATGCATTTCACACGAGTAAACCTTAATTTCGTCAGCCAGGGTAAAGATAAAGGGAAGTGGTGAAAGCAAAATAGCAAAGCTAAGATGATGGGTCAGCGAGAAACCCTTGCCCAACTAGTTGGCCAAGCACTCTACTGGTAAGTGCAAAGCAGGAAGTCCTGTTTTTGACTCTGCTAACCTCAGTGAACGTTTCTGTCTTTTTAAGAAATGGGCATAATGCTCTGCTACCTAACAAAGGCCTGCAATGAGATTTAACGAGCCTATAGAATGTTTTGAGGTCTCTAGACGTTACGCACGCTCCAGCCTCCGGGCACGCGGGCGGCGTCGCTGCTCCAGCGGAGCTCGTCTGCGTTAGCGTTCCCAAAGTGACTCCTGCCTCCCCGGTTACATTCACTCGGAGGCCTCATAAAATTAAATGGTCCCTGTTTGAAGTGGGAGGCTTTGCCTTAAAAAATGGTTTCCACTGCCCACACGGTTAAGGTTATAGGATTAAAGACGGAGAAGAAAGGCAGGAAGTTCCCGAAGAGGGAGGCGGCGAGCGGGCGCGGGCGCGGGCGCGGGCGGCGGGGATGGCCGAGAAGCGCAGGGGCTCGCCGAGCGGCGCGCTCAGCCTCCGGGCGCACGCCTTCTCCGTGGAGGCGCTGATCGGTGCCGAGAAGCAGCAACAGCTGCAGAAGAAGCGGAGAAAGCTGGGCGCCGAGGAGCCGGCCGGGGCTGCGGACGACGGAGGCTGCAGCCGGGGCGGCGGCGCTGCCGAGAAGGGCTCCTCCGAGGGAGACGAGGGCGCTGCGCCCCCGCTGCCGGCGCGGGGCTGTGCGGACGCGGAGCGCGGCTGTGGCTCCCGCGCACCGGCGGGTGAGTCTGCCCCTTCCCGCCCAGCCTCTTCCCGGGCAGCTCCCGCCGCGAACCTGAACTTCTGCGGGGCGGAGCGCGCGCGCACGGCGGCCCGAAAGTGGTCGGGCCACGGCGGCCGCGGTGCCTCGGCCTCGGGGTCCCCGCGCGCCCGGGTCGGGGCCCACAGGGCCGTGGCAGCCGCTGCCACCCGCTCGGCGCCTCGCGGTCGTTCGAGTATCCGGGCAGCGCGGGTTTGTGCTTTCAGCCGCGGCCTCCCTTGGGGCCGCAGCCTATGGGTGCTGCTTTTCCTTTCCCAACTTTTAAACGCCTAAGGCTGGGGGGAGGTAGGAAGAAGGCACAGCCGCCACCCCCACCCCGAAACCGGAACGAATGCCCTAAACTGTTTGTGCAAACCAGGAAGAGGGCGGCGTAGCTGCGAACGCGGTTTCCCGGGGGCCGCGCAGCGGTCCAGGCCCTTCCTCCCCTCGGACTCCCGGGGCCGGGGCGCTCGGCTCCGCGCCGAGCTGCTGAGTTGACGCGCGGCCGCCGTGGGGTCCGCAGAGGCGTCCGGAAGATGCTTCGGGCCGGGACGCGGCGGCCGCTTGAGCTTCTAACACGGCCCGAGCTGGGGACTCTGCCCTCGGGAGCTCGTCCCGGAGTGCGTCCCACTCGAGGCGCAGGGCCCCGCGGCGGCGCGAAGCTCTCCGGGGCCTGGACCCCGCGAGGCCCGGCGGTTGAGGGACGCGGCCTGCGCGCTGTTCCGGGGCCCGGGACTTGGGGACCCGGCAGGTCTCCCCCGGGCGCCTGTTGGTGGCACCGGCCGAAGACACCAGGGCGTCGCCCTTGTTCTGCGATCCCGGGCCGGCCGCCTGCGTCTCACCCGGAGCCCTCACTGGGTCCTTTTCTGCCCTTTGCTGTCCAGGCAGCGGTGAGGACGGCTTCCTGCAGGGCACGTCCCCGCTGGAGTCCCCCGGAGGCTCCCCGAAGGGGTCCCCGGCGCCTGCCTTGCCCGGGTCCGGGACCCCGACGCCCTCGCTGCAGACGCCGCGGGTAGATCTGCAAGGAGCGGAGCTCTGGAAGCGCTTTCATGAGATCGGCACGGAGATGATCATCACCAAGGCGGGCAGGTAAAAGGCTTGCGCGGAGCCCTAACCCGGGACGGCTTGGGAGAGGGCTCTACAGCGCGGGGAGCATTTTCTGACAGCCCGTTATGAGACCGATCGTGCCTCACTCTCAGACTGGCTTTGCCTCAGTGGGCCAAGGTGCAGGAGATAATGAGGCCCTCTTGTTAATCCACGAGAAATTGTGGTGGTCGCCTATGCCGTAACCATCAAGGTTGACGGTCGAGTGGAACGTAGTTACGGATTCCAGGTCCTATTATGTCGGTGCTCCAGTTACTTATTTAGGCTCTAGTTATCAATTCTGGAAACAATGTATACCTCAGCTCCTTTCCTTTTCCGCTTTTAAAAAACAGTTTGCTCCACAGCAAACTATGACTTACTTTTTCAGATTTAAACTTACAGGTTGGTTCTTTTATCAGAAGACTTCCTGGAACTATAAGAACATGGTGGTTGTATTGTTTTGCAGTTAGACTAGGATGAAAACTCACTATAATCGTTCATAATGTATACGTAGCTGTAGGAATAATTATCCTGATTTTGAAAAATCCTGCTTGTTGATCCAGTTGCATGGTTATTTTTCCAAGTGAAATTCCAGGACATTAGCTTAAATTTGCAAAAGAATAATAAACATGAGTGTAAGAAGTTATATTTTTTTAAAGTATAAAATCTGCACAACTGGCTAGGACAATAAGTGGTATTCTTGGTAGATCGCACTAACTTGAGGTAGCCACAGAGGCTTTACACTTTAAAATTTTCAGTTCATTTAGTGCAATAAAATTATGAATAATATCCTTAGAAACTTTCTAAAGGACACACGGCTCTTTCAGGGAGTACACATGGCAAAAACCTGGATAGCATAAAAGTATCCAAACTTATTAGAAATTACAAAAACATATTTGATTGAATCCATATGTACCTTCTGCATTTTCGCAGAGCTTTTATTAATGATCCAAATTTGGTTTTGAGCAACACAAAGCAACAGTCATCTTATAAAGGATGTAAAGACCTTCACTCTTTATCTTACAGGTGCACTGAAATAATACTAACCAGCCAGCGCCATATTAGAGCTGGTCGCATGCTTCGTTAGGAATAACGGACTTTCCGTCCTCTGGAAGTGATCTGTAATAGCATTATTGCTATAGAAAAAAAATTGGTAAATAACAGTACTAAAGTTTGTGCTATAAAGTTAAATTAGCAAAAATTAGATTAACTGGCACAGGCTGAGACATAAATCAAACATTTTTTTTTAAAGAACAAATGTCTACATTTGTTTTTATGCATAATTACTTGCTGTTATATCCCTTGCTGCTGCGCTCTTTTGAAAGGACAGATGCGTTTACCTTAGCACCCCCTTTGCTCTGTATCTTGGACCCTAAGGGGAAAAAAAATGAAGATTTTCATTAGCAAATGTTGGGGTAAGTGTGATCTAGGTAGAAAACATTTTTGAAGTATGATAGAAAAAGAAATAATTTAGTAAATACGCTTTCTGTTTAGTTCTGCCTTCAATAAAGAAGTTTTACTATACCTTTCAAATTTAGAGCAACTTTTGCACTTCACCTTTACCGTGCGGCAGACAGGAAGTCCTGTTTCAATAAAGAACACATTGTTTGGTTATAACATAGCACATTGGCTCCTTGTGGTTTTTTATAACGCTCTTAAAATTTCATGTTATATTTTATCACTTTTAGAAATTGGAAATTTCTACTTTTACCATTTATTCTATTTTATTAATTGTATTAAATGTAAATATACATATTGGTTTCATTTAAAAAATAAAGTACTTCCTTTAATGCTGTTGCTCCCTCAGCTGGCAATTCTCTCATTTTGAGCTGTAATGATAATTCAATAAATATAGAACATACATACATAGGATACAACAAATTACATTTTAAAACCTTGGTTTGGATATGTTCTATACTAACCCTTTGCCAAAGGAAATGCTATGAATTTGACCTATATTAAAATATAGATTAGAGAGATTTATTTATTTTTAATTCTTATCAGAATCAAAAACAAAACCCAAATGCTGTTTCCTTTCCTTCATAAATAGGCGCATGTTTCCTGCAATGAGAGTGAAGATCTCCGGATTAGATCCTCACCAGCAATACTACATTGCCATGGATATTGTACCAGTGGACAACAAAAGATACAGGTACAGGGATTGGATACAGGACTTCACAAAGCCCTAGGATTTTGCCAAGAGTGCCCATTTGGTCTGTGATGGCTGTGATCTCTGTTTCCAGAAGCCTAGAGAATGTCCAGATCCATAATCGCATGCCCATGGGTGCTTTCTTTTGAAGTAAAATGTAGAACCAGAATTTCTGTTTGGCTTTTAATAGGAACAGAAATATCTTCCATCACTGGGTACTATTAATAGGGGTCAATTTGATATAGCCAAACTAAATGTATCTCTCATATAGATTCACATTTCAATTAGAATTTTCAGAGGATTTGTTGTACAGTTTGTACACATTATGGTAAATGAAATGATGTATTCTTTATGACTTTTTTTGATTTTTGTATTCCTTTATCTCACTACATGTAAAATCATAAAAGCTTGTGGACTTTTGCCTTCGAGAAAATTATTTAAGATAAATAAAATTTCACAATTCATTGTGATATAAGACATTTTCAAACTGGTAATGAATTATTAACTTTTGGTTGTTTTGGGTTGGTAGTTAGTAATTATTATTTAAAGTCTTCATTGTATTTGGATTTTAAAAGAGTATATTTACCAACTTAGCAAGCAATCTGTGAAAAGATACATATTCTTAGTTTCAAACCAACCTTTATTCTTTTTCTTCTGGAAGAAGGCAAACCAAAAATTTTCAGTGACAATGTTTTTTTTATTTTTTGAATGATAAAAAACTAGCATTTTTAAAAAATAAATAATAACATTTTTAAAAGACAGTTTGGAATGTCTGTGAGACCCAAAGATGGACGCTCTTTAAAATTTTCTAGTTTTTCATAGAAAATTTCTAATAGTTTTAAAATGAAATTGAATTTGAATTTTAGCACCTTAAAATTTAGGGAGTATTTGCAAAGCAGGTTTATATATCAGAAGCATAGAGATTTTAACTTGAACAAAAACATGAAATACTACAAAATGAATAACAGGAAGAAAGTTTTATTTGTGTTCTGTGTATAAATCTTATTTCTTAAGATATGAGGACACTTTGACAAAATTGTCTACTTCATACTAGAAGTTAGAAGGTATAACAGTTCATTCTTGAAATACACTTGATTTAAAAAGCCATGTTCTAATTTGAGCTTTGTGCTGAGGAAGATAATAAGCTTAGACATTATCATTTTTCTTCTGTTTGTATCCTATGTCTTCCTTCAAAATTCTTCCATATATTTTTAATGTTTTATTTTACTTACCTGATTTCTATTTATTCTTACAGAGAGCAAGTTAACTTCTCCTGCTAGTATTAAAATGGTAGATTTTAAAAGATCAAACTGTTAAACATAAATTTGCTTTCATTTTAATTGCTTAATAAAAAGAAATTTGGTTTTAGTGTTGGTAATTAGAACATTTTAAAAAGAATGTAACACATATCATTTATTTGCTTATGTGCATGGGAAATGTGAACTATTTAGTATGTATAATTTTTGCAGGGTTTTGATAGAGCGTACAGCTGTGTGGTAGCAAGCCAATTTATAGCTACAGTAAAGTTTTTTTTTCTTGAATTTCTAAGACTTTCATTTTGTTTTCAACTTTTTAGTGGTAGTAAAAAAAATTCCACTGATTTTCTGATGTCATGGAGTTATTTGGTGGAAGTGAAAATGGTTGCCACTTATTAGAATGTGCAATTGGTAGTCACAGAGTCTACAGTTAGGAATTTATTTATTGATATTCCACCATACCATTTGAAGGATGGTTTTTTAGGTAGTACGCTCAATTTAGTGCTCCTGCATTTTTTTCCCTCAAGGAAAGGAACTATTGTGAGGAGTAGAAGAATATCAGAAAGGAAAACATATCAAATTCCAAAGAGAATGAAATATGTGGCCCTCAGTAAAACAAAAAGCTGCACCAAAGATGTCATGAAAATATTTTATACTCTTCTAATTGTTCAAAAATTTTATGAGTGTATGTTTATGTTACATAATATGTACATTCGGTGTGATGTTACATAGCAAGCACATCGAGTGTGAATTGGTACATGCACATATCACCTTTTTCCTTGCTGTTCCCCTCCTTCCTCCTACCCTAACACCTCTTTTAAAAGAAATTGGGGGCTGGGGAGATAGCTCAGTGGAATAAGCGCTTGCCTGGCATGCGCAAGGTCCTGAATTCAATCCCCAGTTCCCCCCCCCCCGCAAAAAAGAAAGAAATTCACATATTGTACAGGCAAAATGCCCTTGCACGATTTGCAAACACTGTAAATTGTATGATATGTTTCAATATATGTGGAACAAAAATGTCCAAGATTATGATTTTATTTTGTATTTCTTTATTTAAGAATTCTAGTTTTTATCTTTTAATTAGTTTCTTTTAAAGTAACAGTAAGTGATAGTCTGGTTATAGGATTACATTTTGAGATTTTATTTCTTGAGATATTGTCACTTAATGTATTCTTGTTGAATCAATATATTTGCACATATTTAAACAAGGATGTTTTGTCTCTAATTAGAAAAGTAATATTAATTAGATAGGTCATTATTTTCAAAGTGTGATTTGAGCAATATTTAATATAAGCCATATAAGATAAATAAAGGCCTACACTTTATAATTATTCAAAAATTTTATATTAAACTGAATACTTCATCCTTAGCTCATAATGTTGTAGAATTAGAAAAATACAATTCTAAATGATAAAAGGTAAAACTTGTTTCTGTCAAAATATGGCAGTTTCCTCTCACCTTTCTATTATCAGTCTGCATGTAGCCTAAAATGCAAAATGATCTTTAAGGAAGTGGGACCTTTTTTTTTTTTTTTTTTTTTGCGGAACTGGGAATTGAACTCAGGCCCGAAGTGCTTATTCCACTGAGCCATCTCCCTGGCTCCCAGAAGTGGGACATTTTAAGATACCACTTTCTAGTGTTTTGAGATTTACTTAAAGGCAAGTTTGGCAATTCCATTTCCATTGAATATTCGGGTGAAAAAAATATCAATCTATAGCATGGCTAATGTAACTAAATTGTTAGAGTTAAGATACAGCATTTACATTTGTGGTTGTGAGCATGTTCCTTACTAAGCCCTTTGTACATTACTTCCTCTGAAATGTCAATGGAGCCCCCACTATTTCAGAAAGTTTTTGCAAATGGCTTGGGGACTTACTTTAGGTATAAGAAAGATATCAATTTACTTTAGACTGTAAAAAGAAAAGTACACACTTGTTCTTGAGTGTCCTAAGTCAGCAACACTAAGAAACAAACAGTGCAGCTTGTGAGGGCCTTCCTTGGCTTCGTCTTGTAGGTATGTGTACCACAGCTCCAAGTGGATGGTGGCTGGCAACGCTGACTCCCCTGTGCCTCCGCGCGTGTACATTCATCCAGACTCGCCTGCCTCTGGAGAGACTTGGATGAGACAGGTGATCAGCTTCGACAAGCTGAAGCTTACCAACAATGAGCTGGATGACCAAGGCCATGTGAGTAGCTGGCCACCACTGGCTGTCACAACCGTGTGTCTGTGCTGTGCTCACTGAAGGGACTGGGCACTTGTAAGAGGTCCCCTTCTTGGTTGGTCAGCATGTGCACAGTCTGTGCAAAATAAAGATTATATCTGTGTCGGAGACTATGCTTATGGCTGAAGTATAATACAATGAGGCATTTAATGTGTTAAAACAACATATTGCGTTTGTATTGGAATAAAAGAACCCAGAGTGCATGCTGCTCTTTAGCCAAAACACTTGTGTGAAATCCCATGAAGTGCTAATTATTGTACTTCAACTATGAATACTACTTGGAATTTGGCTAGCAGGAATAGTGATTTATTGTGTCCTCGTCCCATCAAGCTCTTTTCTCAGCTGGGGCTCATTGATTTTCAGCGTCGGTCCAGGCTTATTCGCGTGTTCCATCTGCAAGCTCCCAGTTGTTTTAAAAGGAAATCTAATGTGTCAAAATATATTACAGTAATTACTTTCATGCTTAAAACTGCTGAAACATGATATGTAAGTCAGAGTTCAGCCATTCCAATAATACAGTCATTTTTAACACCTTATTAATTTTTGCACTGTATTGTTCTTAGGGCAGATTTCTACCCTAGTATTTTAATAACTCTGGATACATGATGATTTCTGTCCAAAGTGAGCATTTCTATCAGCATTCTGTTATTCAAGAGGGTTTTAACTGAAGCAGGACTGAAGTGCCTTCAGAAAAATATATCATACATAAAAGGAAAATCAACTTGTTCATTTCTCAAAGTGCTAAAAAATAAAGAAAATATATTTGCAAGCAAATCTTTTAAAGCAAAAATAAAGGCTATCATAAACTGGTAAGATAGTGATCACAGGATATGATAACATGCAAGGTGCTAGCCGACACGCAGACCTTTGAGTACCAATTTCATAGCAGTATGAATATAGTGTCTAGATTTTTAGGACACATTTAGCGAATCCTCACATTGGTAGTGTTTTATTGTTGCCTCTTATAATTTAAAATGCAATCAGAAAAATAGACTTTATGAATCCAGTTTTATGCCTTATATTGGTATATCACATTATTTACTTCCTTCTTATTTTGTATGTTTAGTTTTATAAGTTAACATAGTCAGTTTGTAGTAATTGTTTCTCCTTGATTACAGTGAAAGAACATTAGTTTATTCTGTCTTGTTGAGGGAACTGACTGTGACTGCCAGCCGTGTACATTTTTTTTCTTTTAAATAGGAAAAAATGCTGTTAGTCTAAATATCGTTTTTCTTGTTTTCAAAATTTAAAAAAACTTAAAATGTACTACACTTTTCTGAATTCCACAGTTTAAGAATATCTTTAAAGAGATAATTGGAGCCAAAATCTATATACTATCACTCATAAAGTACAAAAATTTGGTAATTTTAGTCAATATAAACATTTCACTATTCTTTCAGTTCAAGTGAAAAAAATCTTTGTATCTAATAGTTTCTTTTTTTGTATCTAATAGTTTCTAATATCTAACATACCTAATGTTAGCTATAGATTTAGCAGTTTAGCTATATGATTTTAAATTTGTAATTTGCTGGACTTTATTTAAAATAGCATTCTTCAGAAAATAGGATTTGTATGTGTGTATGTATATAATATATATGTATATATACATTGAGAATACTAAATATAATAATACATTACTTACATCAATAATACGTTACACACATATATAATACTTATATATGTTAATTATATTGTGGCACCTTAGATTATGAACTTCTTTCCATGATTCTTTTCAGAAACTAAATTGAACAAGAACCATATCAAATTCAATGGTCAGGTTCAATGTTGATGTTATGGGAAATTTGATTCAGTTGTCATCCTTGGTTAGTGACCAGAATCATTCAGAGATTTAAATATCTATCTATCTATCTATCTATATGTCATCTATTGGTGAAGTTTTTCTTTTAAGATTGTGGCAGGTTGCTTAGTTTTATATTAATGTGTAGGTGGAGTAGAGAGAGGGAGCTGTCTGAATTCAGTCTGCAAGCATGGAATTTGCCTTTGCCAGTGCCTCAAGGATATGCACCTATCAGTTGATGTCAGAGGAGAAACGTGGAGGGATGGTGCCCTTTTTATAGTGCACACCAAGGAGAGCAATAGAGTGCTCTTTTTTATTATTTATTCAAAGACCTTTTTTTGAAACTGTATAAAATGTGGTAAAATATATAAAAACCTAGGGTTTGCCTTCAGTGAGTCTTTAGCCTAGATGGAGAGAGAGGGAAACATGTGCAAGATTCTCATCCTGCCAACTCGGAGAGATAGAGATGCCACCTGTACTCTATTTACTCAGCTCAGTAACTCTGGTTTTTTGTTTGCTTTTTGTTTGTTTGTTTGTTTTTGGTGGAACCGGGGATTGAATTTAGGCCCTTGCACTTGCCAGGCAAGCGCTTATTCTACTGAGCCATCTCCCCGGCCCCTCAGTAACTCTGAATGAGCCCAGATTACAGATTAAGAGTTTGTAATTCTACTGTTGATTTTGCTTCAGGAGCTCAGAAGACAGTAATACCATTATAGTGGGAATTTGTTACTTAATCATCCATTTCCTGGCACAGAGACCTCTCAGGGACTTGTCCCTTTCACTTTCCTCATCTGTTGTTATTCAAAAGGAAGTTACCCTAATCCTGAGTTAAATTTGTAGTCTCAAATGAGAAGCAATCTTCTGAGTCGTATTGTTTTACTTTTTTTTTTTTTTTTTTTGCCCTTAGTTCACAGTTTTACTTTGTTCAAGATGTGCATGCAGGAGGGTGGGGAGAAAGTAAAAAAGATGGGCATGCATGTAGCATTATGATTTGAGAATGCCTTATAATCCTGGAATTTCTAGTAATTTAACGCAAAGTGATTTCATGAAGCAACTCCTTACAAGCTGCACCTCCCCCTAGGATATGAGATAGGAGATGATGCACCTCTGTGACTTTTCCCAAAGTGATTCTTCTACTTCCCATATAGCAATATTTAGAGAGGAACATTAATAAGAATCTAGAGTAGAAATGTCAGTCTCTGACTAGTCTTTGTTTTTTTTTCCATAATTTTATTGGGAAGCAAATAGCAATGAGACAGTTTCAAACCAAATTGGTAGGACAGTTTCAATAATTAA